TTTCGGGTCTGGTGACCCTCCTTCAGAGCTGAGGTTCACTGGACCCGAAATGTTGAACCTAATTTCTCTTTACAGATGCTGCCAGACCTGCTGAGCTTTTCAAGCAAATTTTGTTTTTGTTTCTGATTATTTTTAATATTTGCACTAATGTCTTTCTAAATGGCTTGTATAGTTTGTTATTCCTTTTGTGTAATAACCTTGTGTTCTTTTATTTAAAGAACACTGGCAGCCTCAATCGAATATGTCCACTGACAACCACAGTGACCAAACTGCAAGAATAAAACATATCATCTATCAAGCGAGGTTTCGCTCTGAGATCTGACTTTTTCAGTATTACCGTCCGCTGTGGACATATTTATCTGTCTATTTTATCTTTGTAGGTTCTACATGTCTACATTTTATTAAAAGTTAATAGGGTGTATGTGGTTGAGCATGCTTTTCCCAAGGTTTGGATGCTCCTGCTCAAGTGAACTTGTACGAAGATAATGTTGTTGTTATTGCATTCCACATCATTGACTCCTCAGACACTGAGACTTATTGGCGACTTGCTACATTTTTGTTATTGGTTTACATCAGGCACAACTAAAATACATCTTTCAGATGAGACATTTGATTTGATTTATTATTGTCACATGTACCTAAGTACAGTGAAAAGTTTTGTTTTGCGTGCACTATAGGCAGATCATACCATACAAAGTGCATTAGGGTAGTAGAACAGAGCAAGGAATACAACGTTATAGCTGCAGAAAAGGCGCACAGAGAATGAGATCAACATTAAATTTAAAATTTGAGAGGTCCGTTCGAAGTCTAATAACAGTGGGGATGACGCTATTCTTGAATCTGTTCGTACTGTATACAAATTTTTATATCTTCTGACTGACGGAAGAGGATGGAAGAGAGTATAACTGGGGCGGGATGGGACTTTGGTTATGTTGTTGACATTGAGCCAAAGCTACTCTTTCTCGCTGTCCTTTCACTCCAACAAGACCAAATTAGGAACTTATTGCAGTTAAACTGAACCTGCATTTTGGTCTACTGCTATATTTTAGATAACCAGATAGAACTGGAACTTGGGCTTTAAGCACTTAACACAGTTTCAGTCTGCTCCTCTTTTAAGTCAGTGTTTTCAGATATGTTATGACATACCTCTGGGGCATATGGCACTTCAACCTGGACCTTCTGGCCTAGAGACAGGAATACTACAATTGCACCACAAGAGCTCTCCTGATCCGAGTTATAATAGTACAACTGAGTCCCAGTTAATGCCCACTACTTGAATATGATTACATACACAATTAATATATAATTAACATCCTCAGCCAAATTACATGTTTGTAGCTCTGCTGTGATAAGTTTAATGTTCCATGTTACAGATCAGCCTCCACCCATTCTACTTATCTAATCCTATCAGGATATCCTGCTATTCCCTTCTCTCATGGACTTGTATAACTTTCCCTTAAATGCATCTATACTATTTAGTTTAACTATTCCTTTTATTAACGAGTTCCACATTCTAACCATTCTCCTGATAAAGAGGTTCTCATGAATGTTTTATTGGGTTTATTAGTTAATATCTTGTTCTTATGTCTCCTTCTTGTGGACTGCCGTACAAATGAAAATATTACAGAACTGTTATGCTCCATTGTGTCTGCACCAGCTCTCCAATGAGCATTGTGACTTCGTGCCAGTGTCCTGCCCTAACTCTATTTAAGTAATCATCTAATACCCTCTTCACTGCCTCAGCTGAACCTGCCAGTACAACATTTTCAGACAGACCATTTCTGCTATTATTTTTTATAATTTAAAATAAACTCTTTCATTTCTCTGCTCTCTTCTAGAGAAATTAGTCTGAGCCTATGTAACCTGTCCTGATAGTTAAATCTTCTCCATTCTATAGAGACAAATGGTTTTGATGTAGTGTAATTGCAAAGACACGATTGCAAGGAGACCAGGTTTGAGAATTGAATATCCAAGGATTCTCAGTGTTTCAGAAGAATAGGCAGGAAGGAAAAGGGGTGGTGTAGCTTTGTTGGTAAAGGACGATGTCGGTGCTGTCGTGAGAAATGATATAAGCACTGGAGATCGAGACATAGAACCAGTCTGGGTAAAAATAAGAAATAACAAGGGGAAGAAGTCCCAAAGAGAGTAATCTATAGGTACCCCAACAGTTCCACAGTGGAGCACAATATAAACCAGGAAATACCGGGGGCTTGTCAGAAAAGTACAGCAGAAATCATTGGTGATTTTACATGCATATAGACTAGATTGATTAAATTGGCAAGGGTAGGCTCGAGGGTGAGTTCGTGACTGTAGAAGAGAGTGGTTCCAGAACACATTGCTCCAAGAAACAATCAGGGAGCAAGCTATTCTGGATTTGATGTTGTGTAATGAGGTGGGATAAATTAATGATCTCATAGTAAAGAATCCTTAGGAAAGAGTGATCATTGTATGTTAGAACTTCAAATTCAGTTGGAGCGTGAGAGACTGGAATCTCAAACTAGCGTACTGGAGTTAAACAAGGTAATTACCTAGGCATGAGGACAGATCTGGCCGTAGTGGATTGAAAGGGAAAACTAAAGGTAGGACAGTTGCTGAGCAGTGGCAGGTGTTTAAAGAGATATTCAATTGCTTGTAACTATAAAATATTTTCCAGAAAGATTGTAAGAGGGGGAGAAAACATCCATGGCTAAGCAAGGAAGTTAAAGATAATATTAAGTCAAAAACGAAGGCATACAATATTGGAAAGGGAAGTAATAGGCTGGAAGATTAGGAAACTTTTGAAGATCAACAAAGGGTCACTAAAAACGTCATAAATCTTGAAAAAGAAAGATAATAGCAAAAGTGAATGTTGGTCCCTTGAAGGATGAGACTAGAGAACTAATAGTGGGGACCAGAGAAATGGCAGTTACTAAATGAATATTTTGCTTCACCTTTCATAGTGGAGGACACCAAGACCATCTCGATGTTAACAGGTAAGCTAGAGGTTATAAAAAAGGAGGAACTTCCAACAATCGTCATTGCTAGGGAAAAGGTATTAAGCAAACTATTGGGACTGAAAGCAGATAAGTCTCCAAGGCCTGATGGCCTAAATCCTAGGATCCCAAAGGAACTGGCAGCTGAGATAGTGGATATTCCAAAATTCCCTGGATGCAGGATAGGTTCTAGCAGATTGGAAAAATGCTACTATAACATGCTTATTCAAAACGGGAGGGAGGCAGAATGTAGGAAATTACAGACAGTTAGTTTAAAATACGTCATTGGGAATTTGTTGGAATCCATTGTTACGGAAGTAATGACAGGACATTTGGAAAGTCAGAATGCAATCCACTAGAGTCAGTATGGTTTTACAAAAGGCTAAATCATATTTGACTAATTTGCTAGAGTTCTTTGAAGATGTAACAAGCAATATAGATATTGAGGATTCTGCACATGTAGTTTATCTGGATTTCCAGAAGGCATTTGATAAGGTGCCGCACACAAGGTTAACATACAGGTAATGTCACATAGGCTGAGGGGTAATATTTAGCTTGGAATGAGGATTAGCTAACCAACAGAAAGCAGAGAATGGAAATAAATGTGTCTTTTTCTGTTTGGCAGGATGTAACTAGTGGGGTGCCACAAGGTTCAGTCCTTTGGCCCCCACTATTTATAATCTGTATTAATAACTTGGATGTGGGAATGGAAAGTACTATAGCCACATTTGGAGATGACGCTAAACTGTGAGAAAGTAAATTGCAATGAAGAAATAAGAATTTTATAAATGAAAATGGATAGGTTAGGTAAATAAGTGAGTAAGTGTGAGGTTATCCGTTTTGGTCTGAGGACGAGAAAGGCAGCTTATTATCTAAATGGAGAGAAACTTCAGACTGCTTCCGTGCAGAGGGATCTGGGTGTTCTTGAGCATGAATCATAGAAAACTAGTATTTAGGTAGAACAGGTAATATGGAAAGCAAATGGAATTTTGGTAGTTATTGCTAAAGGAATACAGTTCAAAAGTCGTGAAGTGTTGCTGCAACTGTACAACTAGTGAGACCACATCCAGAGTACAGTTTTGGTCCTGTTACTTGAGGACGGATGTAGTTACATTGGAGGCAGTTCAGAGGAGGTTCACTCGATTGATTCCAGGGATGAGGAGTTTGTCTTATGAAGAGAGATTGAGCATTTAGGCCTATACTCTCTGGAGTTTAGAAGAATGATAGGAGATCTAATTGAGGTATATAAGATGCTAAAGGGGATTGACAATGTAGACATGGAAAGGATGTTTCCTCTCATGGAAAACCTAGAATGAGAGGTCATAGTTTTAGAATAAGGGGTGGCAGATTTAAAACAGAAATGAAATTACTTCTCTCAAGGGATCATGAATCTGTGAATCTCCATTGCCCCTGCATTCTTTTTAGTAATATAAAAACACCTGATACATGAACCTTGTTAATCTGTTTAAAACAGAAGAATAAGTTTTCAGTAATATTTAATCTGGAATGCACTGCCTGAAGGGGTGGTGGCAGTGGACAGATCAGTAACTACATTTGAGAATTGGATATTTACTTGAAAAATCAAAACTTGAAAGTCATTGCAGAACAACTGGGGTTACAACTAAATTCTTAGTTGTTTCAAAGAGTTGGTCCTACAGAATGGGCCAAAGGATCTTCATTGATCTTGTACAGTTTTATAATTAAGTACACTTCATGTATCATCCTACCTGTGATATTGTACGACAGTCATTTTAGTGATAAATGTATCTTTTTGTTACAGAGGATTACCGTTTCAACAAAGTATTTCTGACAACTGTGCTAAGTCCTCTCCTGACATACAAGAGGAAGTAAGTGGCTTATAATTAACAGTTTAAAATATTGGCCAACGGCAGGTTGTATCAGCACTGACATCATAAATGCAATCTTAATGCAATCCAGAATGCAATCTTAATTTAAAACAGTTCACCCCTGCTTTTTATTAATTAACGAGTAACTTGCTTGATCACCATTTCTCATTCGTGTCATTACTCCAGGTTCCTTTTTAACTGAAGGGAGAGGAGAAAACCTAAGATGAGTTAAGACTAGGATGTTTACTTATTCAGCTGGTATTAAGAGATTGTCATGTCTTAGCTGGTATCCATAGTGTAGTTCACAATGACTGGTAAGAAGGTTAAGTTCCAGTGTGATTGATGGGGTAGACGAGGGATACAAGACGAGGGATACAAGAGATTGATGTGGAGCAGAAACAAACGTATGAACTAATTAGGCCATGTATGTAATATCTAGCCTCTAACTAGGCCTCTATGTTGTGTGTAGCAGAGTTCAAATGGGCAGTGCCCAATATATGGCCATGATTCACATAAAATTAATTCAACATTCCCTTACCTGTTAATTGCAGTGATATTTTAATCCCATAGTTGCTGAAAGTGTAAGCTGATAATGTGGCAATGATGGAAACTAGACATCTGGGAGCTGAGTGAGTTGGGCATGTAACTCTATCCTCTTAATCAAAGTATAGACACTCTTTTTAATCAACGTGTTCAGGGATGTTATGACAATCTCTAGAACATAGAACAGTACAGCACAGTACAGGCCCTTCGGCCCAAGATGTTATGCCGAAAAAGAATCTCTGGAGCAAGAGGGGCTTGAATCCAGGCCTTCATGGCCTAGAGGTAGGGACATTACCACTGTGCCACAATCAGATTGTAGGAATATGAAATTAACAACATAGGGGCTGAGAAGGGAGGATAAATTAAAGAGTATGAACTCAATGTTGTCAGGAAAAAAGGAAAAATAGAGCGGAAAAGAAAGTTTGGATTAAGAGTGAAAATAAGCACAAAGAAAAAATGTTTTTAAATATAAGTCTGAATTTTATGTTTTACACTTTTAAAGTCTCTAACAATTAAAACCAGAAGGATGAGAAATGATTGTTGATTTCAATGTCAGGATTCATTGGCAGAAACCCAAAATTTACACCTGTTTTAGGATTTCTAACAGCCATTCCAGGCATAATTAAATATGCATGAATCTTTATTGACTGCAGGACAGGCTCCTGGCATCACGTCAGACCAGCTATAACCTTCTACGATGAATTTTGTTTGCACAAATATGTGACATAATATCACTTGATGTGGCAGATAGCAAAATGCCAGTTTTGAAAAATTAATGGTGGAAGAGAGCATCTTGGACAATAACTTTGGATCTTCCCGTTTTATTGCATATTTGCCCATAGCGTGTAGCACATGTCCTGTAAATAACAGCAAAAACTGCTAGCTGTGTGGCTATTTTGACAGCAACTTAAGGCCCATGATATTTGTGCTTGCAAATCCCTTTAATGATATGAGTCATGGCAGACCACAAAGGAGATTGGACACTTCCTAAACAGCAGAAAGAGAAATCAAAGGACTTTTTACATCTCGTTGCAGAAGGATAAATTCTGACTGTGGCTTTGGAAAACGCAAGGTTGCTTTTAACTTCAAAATATATCTAGCTAATTCTATTTTCAAATAGAAGTAAATTGTGCTATAGAAGTAAACTGATGTTTAACGTTATAGCGAAGATCTGTAGCTCGGGTTTGTGGCTGGAGCTATTGGTTGGTTTGCCAAGCTGACTGGTTTTGTGCAAACATTTTGTCCCCCTTCTAGGTGACATCTTCAGTGCTGTTTAGCCTCCATTGAAATGCTGTTGCTCTGTTCCGTTCTGAATTTATATGTACCAGTCTGTTATGGCGGGTAGTTCTGTTTCTGGTTTTGCTGTGTAGTGGTATGTAGATGAGATCTGTTTCAACATGTTTACTTATGGTACCAATGGTTGAAAATCAGGCCTCCAGGAATTCTCGTGCTTGTCTTTGTTTTGCTTGTCTTAGTACTGTTATATTGTCCCAGTTAAACTGATGTCCTTCTTTGTCAGAGTGAATAGAAACAAGGGAGTGTTGGTCGTGGCATTTTGCTGCGAGTTGGTGAACACCAACTCCGACTTGTTTCTATTCACTCTGACAAAGAAGGACATCAGTTTAACTGGGACAATATAACAGTACTAAGACCAGCAAAACAAAGACAAGCATAAGAATTCCTGGAAGCATGGTTTTCAACCACTGGTACCATGTTGAAATAGATCCAATCTACAAACCACGAGGGAGCAAAACCGGAAACAGAAATACTCATCATAACAGACCGGACCCATATCAATTCATAACGGAGCAGAGCGACAGCACTGAAGATGTCATCTAGAAAGGGGATGAAACATTTGCACAAAAACCAGTCAGCTCAGCAAACAAACCAACAGCTCCAGCAAATTGATAGTTTGAATTCCATTCCAATAGAAGGTAAAACAGTGAAATTGAAGATCTACTCTAATATTGATGGTCTATATTTGACGAACTGTTAGTTTTTTTTCATTTGATTTATTATTGTCACGTGTACCTAGGCAAAGTGAAAAGTTTTGTTTTGCATGCAGCACAGGCAAATCATGCCATACAAAGTGCATTAGGGTAATAGTACAGAGCAAGGAATATAATGTTACGGCTGCAGAGAAGGTGCACAAAGAGTGAAATCAACATTAAATTTAAAATTTGAGAGGTCCATTCAGAACGGTGGAGAAGAAGCTGTTCGTGAATCTATTTTAACATAACATTAATATTCATAGAAATTTCTTCGTGAAAAAATTGAAATAACCAAGCTTAATGTCTTTACTTGGGTCAAACTACAAAATAAATGTCAGTGTGTTTGGTTGAAAAAATAAATCAATATTGTGTGAAGTTTTAAGAAAGATATATCAGAAATTTGGGTGGTGTATTTTAAATGTGAATACAAGGTTTATGGTAAGTTCTTGTGCTTCAGTACACTGGTTATGCAAAACTGTCTGTTTCCTAATTTGTGGAAACTCTCAGAGCAAATTTAAACTCTGAATCCTAAATACAATTTAATGTAAGGACAAAAGCTAGTTCAAGGTTTCAAAATATGTAAACACCTGCCCATATATGAAAACTGGAATAATGTCCTATTATAGACATCCAATGTATCTGTTCTTTTGTTGATTGAACTATATTGGTAATATAATTTTAGCTCTGGCCTCTTACTCACTTTTTGATGCATGAATTATGTTTCTTTTGTAGATTTTTTGAGAAAAAGCTGGACCAGTTCTTCAGTAAGGAACAAATAGTTTTGTATGTGGACTGTCTAAGAGAGACATTATGGCCTAATGGAAAGCCTGCAGAACCACTTCCAGAAAGATCCCTTAAAGAGAAAACCATTGCTAAAGAGAGAGCTGAGGAATTACTGCAGGAGAAAGCTTCAGGTAAACCAGTAATTCAGAATTATATTTTCATCCCTTTTATTTCCCTCTAAACTTTACTTCAGTGTTCCTATACACAACCTAACCTTGACCAGGAGAGTAGATTCTTGAGTATTATCCAAAGATTGGACTGATCTTGCAATTAAATCAAATCATAACATCATGTCCTCTTCTTGTTTGGTCATTTCCTGCACTAATTACGACCAGTTCAATGTGAGAACTTGTGGATCAGTCCAGAACTAGGGAACATTGTTTTAAAATTAGGGGTCATCATTTTAGGACAGAGATGATAATTTTTTTTCTCCAAGAGTTGTGCAACTTTGACCTTCTCTGCCTCAGAAGGTGTTAAAGTGGGGCCATTGAACATTTTTAAGAGGTGGATTGATTCTTAAAGGAGCAAAATACTGCCGATGCTGGAAAATATCAAAATGCTGGAGAAACTCAGCAGGCCTGGCAGCATCTTTGGGGAGAGAAAAACAGTCAACATTTCGAGTCCAGAATGACTCTTCAGAACTGAAGTGGATAGTGAAATAACTCCATGAAGGCACGTATCCTGTCACCCAAGTCACCCTTTATTTATACATGCATTGTACGTGAGACTGACCCAGCTAGCTCCGAACCGGCTCCTAGAGTACACAGGATGTCTGATGCTCCTGTTTATATCTGTCAGCCAGGGCTCCCTGATTGGAGCAGTTAACAGTGAGAGAACTCGTATTCCATGCGGTCCACCTGGCTGACCTTGTTCCATTCACTACAGATTGTTGTTGGGTAGGGGGATTCATGGGTATCGGGGTAGATGGGAAGATAGAATTTGAAACAAGCAGATTAGCCATGATGTTGTTGAATGGCGGAACAGACTGGAAGGGCTGAATGGTCTACTTGTTTGAATAAGCGGGAGGGGCATGTGTTTTTTCACTACAATGAGTTATTGTGTTTGGAGCTGATGCACTCAGTCACCGTCTTGGTTAACTCACTGGTACACAGCAGTGTGGATCTCCCCATCAGGAGCTGATGGTTCTTGGCTTGTTGTAATGGGCCAGGCAGGAAGTCTTAACCATGATCGCTTGGAGGAGATGCTGAGGTGAACCTGCTTCCTCACTTTGTAAATTTAGGTGGAATAACTTTCTTTCCGGATCCCCTTCCTTTTCATGCTGCCCTTCTCCGCCAGCTTTTTGATGGATTTCTTGCTGCTTTCTTCTCAGCACTCATGGCTATGCCCAGTTTGAAGAGTTGGACATATAAATGAAAAGTTCAGCATGGACAATTTTTGTCATGTGTTTGCTGACTTAACCTGCTAAGCCATTGGTGCAGGACAGATATCAGATTTTAGTGCAGCCAATGCATTTTCTCTGTTGCTGACCCAGCACAATATGGTGGCTGCTTGTTGAATGGATCCATTGCATTGCTGCATGGTAAGATGCATGTTCTTCTGTCAGTCTTCAAGAATCTTTGGCCTAGGAAAGATTGAAAGTGCAAGGAGAGCTGAACATTGAGAGAAGGCAGAAATTGAGCTCTTCAATGTGTTATTATAAGGCTGATCAATTTATCGCCATCTAGTCCTTTTAGGCAGTGAATAATTGAGCTGTCTGGTTATTCTGATGAGCTATCATTAAAAGTCGCAATGATGCTACATTTTTATTCTACTAACCTGGGAACTGAGTAACGAAGAACATTGGATTTTTACTTCTGCAGCCTAAGGTCAAATCCAGCCCAGACAGGTTGAACAGAGGTCCCTTAACTGTAAGGGGAACGTGGGCATATTCCTATTTTGTTCTGTGCTGTGAGCATGCTATCATTACATAAAATTTACAAATGGGCCACTTGGTCTAGCTGGTCATTGATGGGCGCAAGAATTGCAATCTTATTTAGCGAGGTCAGCATACATTCTCCTGAAGGTTAAAGCTGAGATGCGTTAGATAGAGTAGACTGGGAGAAACGTGCTGGTTGCTGGCCAGAGTTTTTTGAATGCTGCCAGTGAACGAATCTAATTAGTGGGAAACAAAAGTTCTGTGAAGTCAGGCAAAATTCCCAACCTTGCACACTGCCCCCAACATTTGAACCATTTTCCCAATCACCTCTGGCCAAAAATACCGCCTATAGTTAAAATAGCAAGACAATACAGAAAATACCTGTAAAATATTGCTAGGTGATTGAATAGAGTCAGTTAGTTCAGTTGGCTGGATTGCTGATTTGCAACTGCAGAATGGCGTGGGATCAATTTCCCACACTGGCTGAAGTCACCATCTGCTCAACCTCTTACCTTGCCTGAGGCATGGTGTACCCCCTGATTAATCTCATCACCAGTCCTCTTCTCCCTATTTCTCTTTCTGTGAGAGAGCAGCCCCATGGTCCTCCGGGACTATGGTAGTTTTATCTTTTACGTAACTGAATTCTGGATTTTGACCACTGAACAGGAGAATATTTACTTCGTAGAGAGTTTAGCTGTTTCCGAACATTCTAACGGCAGCATTGTTTCCGGATACACCGGGCTGAGTCCTGGCAGGTCAGGACAGGAGGAGTGGTGCTGGTAAGAAGAAGGGCTGAGGGCTAGAGTTGGGTCCAATTCCCCATGCAGGTTGAGCAGTTCACTTCCTAATCTTATGTAGTTGTGGGCGTAAGGACATTTCTGGTGGGAACTTGAGGGACTATGGGAAGCATTTGCCTACATCCTGAAGCTGTCGATGTCTCCCTTCAACTGTCGCATTTCCTGAGGAATGCCAAGTCTGCTGGCCAGTGTTATCTCAGAGGCTGCCTGTCTCGTTAAAATAATTAATTGACTAAACAGTCTCTTAGAAATGAGTTGGCTGCCTGCTTCTTGTCCCATCATTGTTAAACATGAAAATGGGTTGATTGGAGGTGGGTTTGGGTCAATTTTGGGAATTTGAAGGTCTTGCACTCATCAGAACAAATGCAAGAACGGCAAATTTCAAACGATCACAGTAATTTATACGATAGGAGGAAAGGGTGCTGATTGGTTGGTCGGCAAGTTGTCTCTGGCTGAGGTGTTGCCATTAGAGTTATCAATATTGCTGATGAGCTCAAAATGAGAAGCTTCAGCAACATGCCTCACTTTTCAGTCATATTCATGTTCTGCCGTCCAAGTGAATGATTTTTAAAGTCTAACATTTGTTGGGATAAAGATTCAGCCCACGCTGTCCATTTATAGTGATTGACTACTACAGTTTTCTATTCATTACGTTCCTTCCTTTCAGCAATAGATTTATTATGTGGCCTTACCACTGGTCCGTTCAGTTGCTAAAGTGCATGTGTTTTCTTGGGTAATAATACTTGGAGAAAGTTATTTCCATATTATCTTAATCAAAAATGAAAATTTGATGTCTTTGTGACTTTTTTTCTTACATGCTTTAGGATAGCAAGTGAAAACTGACTTTTTTAATTCAATTTCAGGTTTTATATATTCTGTTCTTCATGGTAAAAAAATTGTGAAACTTTTGTTCCCCATATTTCAAGATGCGGAAACTAATAAGACACTTGTATATGTAAGTACCACAAAATGTTCTATAAGTTCTTTTACAACACCAAGGGCTGGATTGTACACTCCCCCACCAGAGGATTTGAAGGCTGGGGAAAGGGTTTGTAAAATCCAGTGGGCAGCCTATCTGCTTGTCCTGACTTGTCTTAAAAACTTTCAGTGAGGGTGTTGATGCTACTACTAACAGGCCATCCCCTGAGCCCTTGTAATTATTGAGGCCCTTAAATAGCCAATTGCCAATTTGTTTTTTAATTATTCTTGTGATAAAGCATTTATTGCCCATCTCATGGCCCAGAGGGCAGTTAAGAGTCAACTACATTGCTGTGGGTATGGAATCGTATGTTGGCCAGGGAAGGTTGGCAGTTTCCTTTCCTAAAGCACGTTAGTGAACCAAATGGATTTTTATGACAATCAACGGTGATACACAGTCATCAGCTTTTAATTGTAGATTTTTTTTAAAGATTGAATTCAAGTTTCACAATCTGCCATGTGGGATTTGAACCGGTTTCCCCAGAGCATGAGTTTTAAATTAACACTACCAGCTCCCCATGTTATTAATGGTCACCAACCTTATCCTGCCAATGGCATTTTACCCATATGACCAAAAAGATGCAGTAAGTCTGGCAGCTGAGGCTATGTGGGTTGGTGACAGGCAAGGGGATTGTGTTTGCTGAGACACTCATCAACTGGCTGTTAACAAGCTGATTGGAGCTCGCTTTGGCAAGTGGGCATGATGAGTCAATCACCATTGAGCTCGCCCACCCTACATTTAGGCTGGAAAATGGAAAATCACAGGATTATTATGGCCCTTCATGTCTGCAGTGGCTCTCTGAGCATTTTGGGTTTTTTTTCTCTCCCATAACCCATTGTTTTTAGTTTTATCTTGGCCTGGGTTCCATAGGTTAACCCTAAGTTACATTTATTAATCGTACTGCCTTAACACTTCTTCTACTGTTATTTCTATAAAAATATCATGAAGTTGCTTTGAATACTGTGTCTTATTTACAAATGTTACTTGCCAGTTTTAGGAAACAATCTCCATTAAGATGTTTTAATTAGAAAGTTACAGTAAAATAAAGGGACATTCATTCTGCTATAAGGAGACTAGTTAATCAGGTAATTTTTCTCATATGTATTTACACAGAACGTGCTGAAGTTTCTGTTGTCTGAAATCACAGCCGGCAATAAAGGATCCTTGGTAACCTGATGTGATGTCTTGTTTGAGAAGAATAAACGACAATGTGTTAAATGATAAATCACTATGACAGCAACCAAATTGGAAAAGAAAATTGCCTTGGAACAAATTATGATATTCATAAACAATTAAAAATGTTAGGAGCATGCTGTTCAAAATGCTCTTCTGCAGACTACAAAGATTCCGCCAACTCATCTGACCACTTGACAATGGAATGACAATGAAATGTTTTATAGATATTTTTAATCAATCTGTTCAGAAATGTTATTATACAGCTCTGGAGCAGGTGGGACCCGAGCCCAGGCCTCCTTACTCAGGGTAGGGACACTACACATGGCCCATGAAATGCTTTACAAGCTTGTGGGAGTGGCAGTGCTTATTCATCGATCTTTGTGCCAGATATTGAAACATGTATCTTCCAGATTTTTAAAAAATATTTCAGGATTAGCAACAATATGTGAGTCATACATTGACAGACAATCTGCAATACCTTAAACGTGGTGTTTACACAAGAGGTTGAGTTCTTTCCGAGGGATGTTTTCAAGCCAGTCAGCATCCTGAACCATTCCTTTCCACCATGTATACAAAGAATATTGTGTGCCTCTGATTTTTACTCCATGGAATTTTTTTTTGGTGCACTGAAAATGTCTCTCCTTGGAGACTTCCGATATCACTGTGCCTTTGACCAAACTTGTAAATCAGAATGTAATTTCCATTGATTTCCTTCCTGTATTTTAAATATGTTATTTCTGTTTTTCTGAGACATTTTACCCTTTTACAAGCACTGTATTAATGTATATTTTTGTGAACAGATTTGCAATCCTTAGTTTATTTTTAAAATTCAACAGAATTGTATAGAATTCAATTCCTGTAGATGATGTATGAGGAGCTCCATGTTTAAGTCTTATTGGAGTTAGTAGATCCCTAGATGGGATCAGGAAGGTACAGAGTGTAGAAGCATAGAAAATCAGCAGCAAATAGAGTTAAAGGGTGACAAAATGATAAAAAGACAACATTTGAATGTATATCATATTCAGAACAAAATAAATGAACTAACAGCATAGTTAGAGGTAATAGATATGATCATATAGCCACAATGGAGATATGATTATGCTAGGAGGTAAACCGGGAACTAAATATTGAGGGGCATGTGACTTTTTGAAAGGAAAGACAGGAAGGTATAGATGATGGGGTGGTTTTGTTCGAATGGACAGAATAAATATGATAGCAAGAAATGATCTCGCATTGAAAGATGCAGAATCAATGGATGAGTGGAGGTAATAGATAACAAGAGGAAGAAGACATTAGTGGGAGTAATCTATAGGTCCTCAAACAGTAGCTCTACTGCAAGACAGAATAAATCCGGATATAACGAGGGCTTGTAAAAAGCGGGAACATTGTGCATTAATCACAAAAAGCTAGCAGCCAAGTTCAGCAGGTGATTAGGAAGGCAAATGGCATGTTAGCCTTTATTTCAAATGGAATGGAGTACAAAAATAGGGAGGTTACTAAAACTATACAAGGCACCAGTTTGACTACCCGTGGAATATTGTGAACAGTTTGGTCCCCATATCTAAGGAAAGATATACTGGCATTAGAGGCAGTGCAGAGAAGGTTCAATAGCTTAATTATCAGGTATGGAGGGATTTTCTTGAGAGATTGAGTAGTTTGGGCCTGTACCCATTGCAGTTTAGAAGAGAGAGAAGCAACCTTATTGAAACAAACAAGCTTCTTAGGGGCCTTGACAGAGTAAATGTGGAAAGGTTGGTTCCCCTAGTATAAGAGTCTAGGACCAGAGGGCATAATCTCAAAGTAAGGGATTGCCCATTTAAGACAGAGCTGAGGAGGTATTTATTAGAGGGTGGTGAATCTGTGGAATTCTTTACTGCAGAAGGCTGTTGAGGCTGGGATAGACAGATTTTTAATCAGTAAGGGAATCAAGAGGAAAATGCAGAAAAGTGGAGTTGAGGATTATTAGAAACAGACGTTGTTGGAAAAGCTCAGCCGGTTTGGTAGCATCTGTGAAGAGAAAGCAGAGTTTACGTTTCGGGTACAGTGACCCTTCCTCAGAATGGTTTTTATTGAGGATTATTAGGTTAGCCATGATCTCATTGAACAGTGGAGCAGACTCAATGGGCTGAAAGGCCTACTTCTGTTCCTGCGCCTTTTAGTTTAAATGGTATATTTCAAGTGAATTAACATTTTAGGACAGATGTGCTTATCTGCTTTATATTTTGTCAGTCCTAGAAATTGCATATTGTCTGCAGGTCAAAACCTTTATCAAACTTCAGGTATTTTGAAACAAACATAGAATACTGGAAAACTCAACACCTGGAAAAATCTGTCAGGCCTGCTGAGTTTTCTGTGTTTGTTTCAGATTTCCAGGATCTGCAGTATTTTGCTTTAATTCAGATACTTTGAATTTATTGGCTGTACTTTTATGTGTAATATTTTAAATTTGAACTTGTAAGTGGACTTTTCAAATGTATTCCTTAGCCTATTTTAAATTTCAGTTTTGTTCAATGATAGATGTCGTGTCTCTGTTTCTGAAGCCTGTGGATTCATACCTCAGTCCATGGATTTAAGCATGTCCTGGTGCTACTGCAGCTACTGTGGGAGTGCTGCAGTGTCAGAGGTGCTGTCTGTTGGGTGGAATGTTGAACTGAGATCCTATCTGCTGTCTTAGGTGGACAGAAAAGGTTCGGTGACACATTTGAAAAAGAGCAGAATGCTGCCCGGGCAATAATTATCCTTCAGCCAGCAACACAGCAAACAGCTGACAAGAATACTAACTTAGTACTATGCATTCCCCTCAGCTGGGAATACACTTCAAAATTAATTAACTGGTTGTAAAGCACATGCAGATGTCCTGAGCACCAAGGTGCTGTGTAAATACAAGTTATTTGTTTCAATTGAACCATGTGCTGAGTGACCAAATTTTAATTGAATACTTTGGGACTAGAAATGTCAACTTTGTTATTGCATTGCTACATTCACTGAATATATACATAAATAAATTATTGTAAATTGTATTCTTAAAAGATTTAATTTCTTTATTTATTCATTTGTGAAATGAGGGCATTGCTGGCTGGGCCAGCATTTACTGCCCATCCCTAGTTGCCCTTGAGAAGGTGGTAGTGAGCTGCCTTCTTGAACTGCTGCAGTCCTCCTGTGATTCATTACTTGATTCACGTTAACACTGCGTTGTTCACAAATAAGTGGTCATTGTAAACCTACTAGTGAAACTCAGTAAAGTATTTTTTTTCTTATTATTCACACATGGGACGTGTGTGTTGCTGCTGGGCCAGTATTTATTGTCCGTCTCTTGTTGCCCTCGAGAAGGTGGTGGTGAGCTGCCTTCTTGGGCCGCTGCAGTTTATTTTCCGTAGGAACACCCATGGTGCTGTTGTGGAGGGATTTCCAAGATTTTGACCCAGATTTTTGATGCTGAAGGTGCAAGTGATTATATTCCCAAGTTTGCATGGTGAGTGGCTTGGAGGGGAACTTGTAGATGATGGTGTTCCCATGTACTTGTCATCAATGTTTTCTCTAAGCAGCGTGGCTGTCACTGATCAGGAGAGGATTCAACAAAAAGGTTGGCCTCTTCTTTTAGCAGAAAGGTGCAACCAGACCATTGTGCAAATTATTGTGAAGCGTCAATTTTGAAGGTAAGGTTTTCTATAATACATGGTTCAATAGGCTTGCATTAAATAAATAAACTGTTGCATAATGAAATTCCAGCTATGTTAAGGTGTAGTGATTCAAAATACCACATGATTTGAAATAAAAATGCCTTCTACCATTAATATTACTTACTTAGAAGCATAGTTTCGTAGAGACCACTGTTTGAGTTTCTTTTCCATAAAAGTCACTGGGAATTGACAGTATAAGAGGCTGCAATTGTCATGCTTTTGTTTATCTCAGTTAAAATTTGCATATTTCCCTTGCCTATCATTTTGGGGTCACAAATGATGAATACATGGGAAAACGGTGTAATAGTGCATTCAGAAATGTTATGGCCATCACATTTCTTAGAACTGTAGCACCTCAAAATTTGGCACTACACCTCGGAAATCTGGAAGTGAAAGCTAATCTCAGGGATGGTCACAAAATTAATATCGAATTGTCACCAGAACGCACTGGTCCATTAATGCCCTATGGAGAAGGAAATTTGTCATCCTTACCCAATCTGAAAATAATTTGATTGTCTCTTGCTGGCTGAAATGGCCTAGAGAGCCATTTAGTTTGAGAGTATTTCAGGATGGGGAACACACAATGGCCTTGTCAGAGAAGCCCAGTGCCATCCCACTGAGGTTGGCTCAAGATGTAGGTGGTAAATTCTGCTTTGCCAGTGATGTCACTTTCAGACACCTAACTTTTAGAAAGAATCACAATTTTGGGACTTTTGCTTGTTTAGATTTGTTCTTTGGTTGTGAGCATTGCTGGCAATGTCAATGTCTCACAGAATCACAGAATCCCTATAGTGCAGATCTCATCCCTAATTGCCTAAGTGCTCTGTCCCTTATTTTTCATGTGTTTAAACGATATTCAAGAAAACGATGGGTGGGGTGGATGAGTATGTTTGCAGGTGACGTGAAGATTGGCCGAATGGATGACAGTAAATCAGACACAAAGACAGAAGTTGCTGGAAAAGCTCAGCAGATCTGACAGCATCTGTGAAGAGAAATCAGAGTTAACATTTTGGGTGTGGTGACCCTTCCTCAGAACTAATGGTAGCTGGGAAAATGTCAGTTTATATGCAGAAGATAGAGTGGGGGAGGGGCTACGGAGTAAATGATAGGTGGGGATAGAGCCCCAAGAGAGACAAGAACAGTTGGACAGACAAAAGAGTGGGTAATGATCTGGCTAGGAGGGTGAATAGCTGTTAATGGAGACTGTTCGTGGCTAACAATAGGTAGTTAATGGCAGACTGTGGTAACATGGCCTGTTGTGTGGGATGAGGGGCGAGGGGCTTGGACATGGGAGAGTTCAGGTCCTAGGGAGGTGTTTCAGGCCCTGTTCCTGATTTACAGCCATCTGCAGTTCTTTCACTTTTTATTTAGTATTTGACAGTAAAGAAGGTGTTGGCTTAAAAGAGGATATAGACTGATTGGTCAGATGGAATTTAACCCTGATAAGTGTGAGATGCTGCACTTTGGAAGAAGTAACAATATAAGTACTAAATGAATGAAAAAGACACTGGGAAGCTCAGATGGATCTTGGGGGGTCTTGTCCACAGATCCTGAAGGTAGCAGGAGACCTTTATAGGGCAGTTAAGGCAAATGGGACACTTGACTTTCATAGCGTTGCCAAAAGAGTAGGAAGTCATGTTGGAGCTGTACAGAACTTTGGTTAGGCCACAGCTGGCATATTGTCTGCAGCTCTGGAGTTTAGGAAGGATGTGATTTCACTGGAGGGGGTACAGAGATGATTCACCAGAATGTTGCCTGGGATGGAGCAGCTTAATGATGAAGAGAGGCTGGATAAGATCAGGTTATTTTCTTCAGAGCAGAGAAGGCTGAGAGAGGACCTCCTTGTGGTGTATAAGATTATGAGGGCATGAACAGGGTGGGTAGGAAGCAGCTGTTCCCTTTAGAAGCATCAAAACGGGGGGGGGGGGCAAGATTTCAAGGTAAAAGGCAGGAGGTTTAGAGGGGATTTGAGGAACAGTTTTTTTTTTTTCCCCTCCCAGAGGATGGTGAGAATCTGGAACGCAGTGCCAGGGAGGGTAGTTGAGGCGGGAAACCTCACAACCTTTAAAAAAGTACTTGGTTGAGCACTTGAAATGTCATAAAATTCAAGGCCAAGTGCTGGAAAGTGGGGCTGATGTAGATTTAGAGTAGTTTTCAATGCAGGCATGATGGGCTAAAGGGCCTCTTTTGTACTGTGTAATTCTATGCTGGTGGTATGCTGCCTACTTGAACTATTGTAGCCCATCTGCAGTAGCTACACCTGTAGTGCTATTAGAGAGGAAGTTCCGGGATATTGAATGTCAATATGTCAATGTTCATATTGGTCGTAAATTAGGACTATACATGGCTCGAAGGGGAACTTCATTGGGCTAGTAATCCAGAACACCATCCTAATATTCTGGGGAAATTGGTTTGACTCTCACTTAGCAGATGGAGGTAAAATTTGTATTCAATAAAATCTGAACTAAAAAGCTAGTCTCATGGAAACCATATATAATGGCAATCACTTTTGATTGTTATAAAATCCTAACTGGTTCTCGAATGTTCCTTTAGGGAAGGAAATCTGCTGTCCTTACCTGGTCTGATCTACATATGACCCTGTACCCACAGCAATGTGGTTTACTTTTAACTGCCCTCTGAACAATTGGGAATTGGCAATAAATGTTGGCCTAGCCAATAACACCCACAACATGCATTTATTTTAAAAGGAGGCTTGATGAGTTGCTGCAATATATCTTGTAAATGGTACACAATATTGCCACTGTGTGATGGTTGTGGAAGGAGTGAAATGTTTAAGGTAGTGGTAGGGTGCCAATCAAACAGACTACTCTGTCCTGGATGGTGTCGAGCTTCTTGAGTATTGTTCGAGTTGCATCCCTCTGGAGACTATTCCATCATACTTCTGACTTGTGCCTTGAAGATGGTGGATAGGTTTTGAGGGAACAGGCAGTGAGTTACTCCCCACAGAATTCCTAGCATCTGCCCTGTTATTGTCATCATGGAATTTAAATGGTGGGTCCAATTCAGTTTCTGAATCAGATCACCTTCATTTTCATCCCAGGCAACGTCCTGGTGAATCTCCTCTGCACCCTCTCCTTTGCAATCATATCTTCTGAATCAGAACTGCATGTAGTATTCCCTCTATGGCTTGGCCAATGTTTTATGAGGTTATGCTCCAACATTCTATGCTAATGGAGGCAAACATCCCGTATGCCTTCTTCCTGTCTACCTGTGCTGACACCCTAAGGGATCGATGGATCTGTACAGATCCCTTTGTTCCTCGGTACTACCATTCATTGTGTATGTGGTTCCCTACATAGACCTCCCAAAACGCATCAGCTTGCACTTATCAGGATTAAACTCCATCTGCCATTGCTCTGCCCAATTTACCAGCTAATCAATATCAGACTGTAGCCTGAGACCATCCTCCTCACTTTCAACAACACCCCAACGTTTGTGTCTTGTTAAACAGCTTATTAATGTCATAACTTGCTGCATTAACATCCAGCTTCCTATTTTACCAAGCATCCCAACAAACCAGACGGAAGGAATCCTCACCATGGAATTCACAGGGAGTACCTGGTGACTCTAGCATGCTCCACATGTCCCGTTCTACATCCACGGACATTAGCTTCTGACATGGGCCAACCTCTAAGAAAGAACCCTTATGCCACATCTCTGATCCATTTACAATATGCTTACAGTACTTACAAAAGTACGTGCTCGGCGAAAGATATGGACCACAGCAAAAGGCCCAGTTCGTGGTTAAAAACCCGTTCGTGGATTACACAGCAAAGCCTCAAAAGCCACAGCTCTTGGCAAAATGGTCCCTCA